GTAGATGGAGAATTAAATGAATAAAATTTACAATTGGTAACTCATAATAGATGGTTGATTTTCTTTTTTTGGCAGTACTAGGGTTTGAATTCTGGGCCTCCCACTCTACCACTGAGCCCACATCCAGCCCTTTATGTTTTAGTTATTTTTCACATAGGGGTTCATATTTTTGTCCAAGTTGGCCTGGACCACAATTCCACATAGCTGAGACCACAGACACACACCACCAATCCAGTTTATTGGTTGCTAACTTTTTGCCTGGGCTGGCTTTCAACAGTCATCTTCTGATCTCTGCCTCCCAAGTAGCTGGGATTACAGGTATGAGCCACCACACCTGGCCCAATCTACTTTCAAATAGGGAGAGTCTGTTTTAATTGTGATCCTTACATGCTCTTTCTTCCTGTTCTCTAAGCAACTATACAGCTTGATGTTGTCGAAGCAGAGACAGAGGCAATAACTCAAGGCAACACACTCCTCCGGGCCAGGAGAACCACCAAGAGGTTATCTGTGATCTCTCTTCCTTCAGGTCTGCAAAAGGTAAAATGCTAAAACAAACTTGCCTCTAAAGACGTACATGTGCCAATGTTTATGTGTTTTGCAAAACACAAATTCTCTCTTACCATAAATCCTCCATAAAGAACCTTTAAATCTGCTCAATGTGTCTTTTCCCCCAAGAGTTTAGAATGCAGAGATGGCTTTCCATGTCAGATTGTTTCACTACTGAGCTCAAACTGCTTAGCTTTTACTACCATCTGGGCAGCAGTGGAATTTGGAGCTTTATGCTGCCTTGCTCAACTGTTCAAATGTCAAGTTCACATATTAGCAATCTGGCCTATCTGTGCATGCTGTGTGCAGAGGAATTTGCAAGACCAGTGGTATCTCACACAACTTTCTGCAAGGATGCAACAAGCGTCCTTTATCCATTAAACACACATGGCTTCTGAGACTGTGAAATGTGACCAGTGCAACTCAGGAACTGAAGTGGGGTTTTTTTTGGTGGTTCTGGGGTTTGAACTCAGGGCTTCGCACTTGCTGGGCAGGCACTCTACTGCTTGAGCTGCATCTTCAGCCCTCAGGTTTTAATTGAAATTAAAATAGAATTAATTCAAATAGCCACATAGATGATCTAGACTCCAGATATACTTTTTGGAAGGTATGTACTGAGTTGCCCAGACTAGTTTTATTTGAAACATTGTTATAATTTAAAAGGAAAATTAGGTGTGTTTTGTTTGTTTTGAGATAGGCTTTCACTATGTTAGCCTGTCTGGTCTTGAATTCCTGGGCTCAAGTGATCCAGTCATCTCAGCCTTCTGAATAGCTGAGACTACAGATGTGCCTTGCCATACCCAACTGCCCAGACGGTTTTTAAAAGTAGTACCCTAGATTATATAAAAAGCACTTATTTACAGCTAACACCAAGTGTCAGGCCCTGCTCCAAGTGCTTTAAAAATATCAATGCAGGTAACTCCTGCAGCCCTGTAAGGTAGGTAGCAATATTGTCCTTATATTAGGAAAGACACTAATTTGCCCAGATGAGTGGCAGAGTCAAGTTTCTGACCCAAGAGGACTTGCGCCTCTAGAGTCTTCATTCTTTCTCTTTTATCCTTCTTTCTCTTTTTTGGTGGTGCTGGGGAGAAAACCTCACTCATGCTAAGCACAGGCTCTATCAATGAGCCAGACCTGTTCTTAATTACTAGGCTAGGTATTAATTGTACTGTCCAGTTGGGCACTGGTGGTTCATGCCTGTAATCCTAGTTACTTGGGAGGTTGAGATTGGGAGGATCATGGTTCAAGGCCAGCCTGAGCAAATATTTCAGGAGACCCCAGTTCCAAAGTAACCAAAGCAAAATGGACTGGAGGTGTGGCTCAAGCTGTAGAGTGCCTGCTTTGCAAGCATGAACTCCTGAGTTTAAACCCATCTGCCTCCCCTCAAAATTACACTCAAATTATTTGTACACATTTCAAAATTAGGATATTTCAAATTAAAACGTAGGTTTCCAACTTTCTTTTGAAAAGTAGGAAGATTGGGAAACACAAGGCCCACAATTCCTCAGGACTACCAGTAGGGGCTGCAAAAAGTAACCTTCTGCAGGAGGCCACAAATCCCCAACAAATCCTGGTTTCACAAAACATGTCTGGGCCTGGACTTTGTAAATCGTATTAAACACAGGCATAACTTAGTAACTCCCAAGTGTGGTAGATGCCCTAGGATGAAAATGGCCTGGGTATTATGAGAGAAAAAATAGGGTTTTAGAGGAGAATGGTGGCACTTGGAAGGTGTAGGCAGGAGGGTCACAATTTTGAGGCCAGCCTGGACTACAGAGTAAGACCCTGTCTCAAAAAGAAAAACAGAAAAAAAAGTAAAAAACAAACAACAAACCCCCTAAGCAACAAGTTGGGGTCTTACTTTAAATGGACCAAGGAAGGTTCTGCAAGTGGAATTTGAACCAGGGCAAGCTGGCAGTGTAATGGGGTTCAAGGGACTCCATGTGTAAGCACCTTTGTTAGGCAAGGGTAAGAATGCAAATGTGGATGTGGACTCACATCCAACTGTGTACATTTTACTATAGTCCTTGTGCTAATTATTAAGCACCAGGGGAAGGAAGAATAAAGCCAGTAAGTCTAAAAAGGGCATAGTAGCCAGAAACCATGACTTAGAAGTGATTTCAACAGCAACACTGTTAGGACATATACTTGTAATCAGTAAAGCTAGGGACGATGGGAAAAGTGTCAAGCAGAGGGCATAAAGAACCCAGAGCTCTCTTTATGTTCAGAGACATGACTCCCATGAAAATAAGGAAACCTGCGGAAATGAGACCAAATTAACTGGATGTAGTGATAATGAGCTTTCGGGGGCACTGGTCCACAACAGCCCCCCACTCTCACTGTGCTTGGCAGCTGCAGTTTCTTCTTCTTCCCCTTACGAATGACCTGCTTTTTTCCCTGACGCTATATATTCTTCAGAGCCAGACAAGCTCATTTCTCTGCACCCTATAGATCTCTTCAAAGAGTGCTCTGGGCACAAAGGAGATACATGGGGCATGGAGAATAATATGAATACAGATTCCAACCCAATGTTGTTACATGGCAAATGTTCACTTTGTAAGAGAATGTTCGAGGGGTGAGAATTCTTATTTAAGCATCATCATAAAAATAACACTGGTATTTCCTAATCTGATGTGGTTTTGCACTTTTAACAATAGGTACCATATTCATCAAAAAAGAGACACTTTCCAGCACTTAAAAAAAAGAAACGTGGCATGGAAAACATCCTTCGAAAATCAGACTTGACAGTAGGAAAGCTTCAAATGCAGGTAGTGGACAAAGGCTTTTACCTTTGTGTCTCTAAAGCATCAGAGGTTCAGGCTGAACTGAACAAACACACAGTCCTACTAGAGGACATGGGTGTGGGACATAATTAACAATTAGCATTGAGAAATAATGCTAGTGGGGGGCATCCGAGAGTGGCTAAAGGATGGCTAAGAGCACCTAGGATGATGCTGTGTGCCTAATAAATCTGAAGTGAATTCCATTAAAATGAAGGCATATGCACAGGCTTCTTTTGAGAAGAAATGAGATCAGCTTTACCACTGGGTGGTAAATGTATGTTTTTCAAGCTCTGTTTACTATGACTTGAATTAGAATAATACTTTGGGACTTGCAAAATGTCCACCAATTCCTGAACTGCTCTCTCAGGCAAAGCAACTGTTTCTTTGGTTTTGACAAGTCTTTCTAACAAGTAGATTCTTTTTTTTTTTTTTTTTTTTTGCATCTATCTGTCACAGGTGGATGGCCTCATAGAAACAGTGACTGATACATCCATGAAGCTACTGGCCCAAAGACATGCTGAGCTCCAACAGTGTGAGTTTCTAGGGGATGAGATTCTTCAGTCTTCTAAGCAGTTCCAGAGGATATCCAAGAGAGCCACAAGAAAGTACAGGCTAAAGAATGTGTGCTTCCCATGCACCTGCTGCTGCTTCTGATTTTGTTCCTGACTGGATAAAAGTCATCTTTGTGAAGATTCTTTTCATTTAGTTCAGAGTCCTGAATAAATCTCTAGTGAATTAATCAATGGGGGTGGGAGGGTTAAAGCATATTCTGCCCAACAGTTGCTAGAGAGAGAGAGAGAGAGAGAGAGACTTTTTATGAAAAGTTGATTTTGATTTTTTTGATTCTGAGTCCATATAAGTAAATTTTACTTTTAATTCTTAATAATAATAGAAAATAGAAGCACTTGTAAGGCATAGCAATGAAGGAAATTTTTCCACTGACTTGCCAAATGAAATTAGAGGAAGCATTTAAAGATATTATGACACTTTTAATATGACTACTACTGAGCTAATTTTAAACTTTGATTTTTAAAGATAAAAATTCTTACTAAAATTATAAAAAGTAACATCATTAAAGTATGATTCATACAGCGTATCTTGTTTCTGATCTAAAATGAATGGGTAAGGATAGAACCTAACAAGGATTACAAGTCATTCAACACTTGAGAAAATTACAAGTGACTTAGCCTTAATTTTTACAATGATTATGACATCCTATAAAAGGTATTCTTAACTATTTACCTCAAACAACTGTTAATTTTATTAGTACTTGTTTTTTCTATTGAAAATGATTCCTAAAAACCAAAATGGTAGAGAGAAAACATACAAAACATTTAATAACCACTTTCCTCAAGTACTGGAGAGATACAGAAAAGACAGAGGGGAAAGCAATGTGGATGGCTTTATCTCTTCTACATCACGGAACCTTTGCCCACAATAACTTCTCCCCACAAGTATTGTGCACACACTTTCACAGGTTCTTGTGCCCTCCACTCCCCTGGAGCCTATTCATGGACTTCATTTTCAAAAGTGGTAATAATTTCCAGAAATGGGCTCATTTTCTTAGGCACATCCTAGAAATGTCACCTTCTTACAATCTTCAACTTATTTTGTAAGAAAATCAATGTTACCAGTTAAAAAGTATCTAGAACACTAATGGGTATAAACACCCAACTTAAAAACATTTTATTAACCATTTTTGAAAGTAGGTTCCTACCTTTTAAGAATCAAAAATGCATTTCAATAAAAACAAATATATACTGAAGTCATTTTCCTTTGTGTGAAGAAATATGAATGAAATGTGCATTTATATTTAAAAGCAAAAGTATTTCACTGCCAAAACTTTAAATATCTCAAGAGCACAACAGATTTTAAACACACCACGGTTGTGTAGCTATTTTAATATCCTTGGGCATACTGAGTGATTAGCCTGCCTATGGCTTGGGATCTGCTTCCATGCTTGTTTCTTGAGCTTCTTCTACCTCTGAGAGCTTCTCATCATCTATAGTCGAGAAAGAAACATAAAACCTTAGTCAACTTTGCCTAAAGTTTATGTTCAGTGTATACATGAAGACATTTTTTATGTTTTATTAGCCAATGCATTTAAAGCAAAGATAACAAAAAATAGCAAAATGACTGCAAACAGGCCACATAAATGTTTGGTTTTTAAAATTCTGTTTTGATTGTTGTTGATTAGTTGACTAAAAATTTAAAATTTGTGTGGCAGATTTCACTAAAACAAAAACAACTAATTCTTAGGCTTTTTTTTTAAACAATCAGAGAGTAGGTAACAGGAATTTCTGATTGGCTGCAGTCAACACAAAGAGCAAATCTTCAACTCCTCAAGTGCCCACCACTCACAGGGAATGCACTGATTACTAATCACCACCTGCCTGGGTTGTGAATTGTTCCTTTTCAGTCATAAACTACAGAAAACCAAAAGAATTCCCTATCTACCACTCTTGAATTTTCTTAATTTAAACTAGTACATATGTATTTAAGTCTTGTACTACTACATAAGTGAGACTCTTCTGCATAAATTCAGAAAGCTGAGTGAATGAATGTCTTATAATGTTATCTAGCTTTCTCTGTTCAGAAATTGAAGGTATACTCTCTCCAAGATGTGTATTCCAAAAGGCACGCTCCTTGACATTTAAAAATCTTCATAAATACTCATTCCGAGATGATTTCTACTTACTTTCTAACGTTTGCTGAAGTTCGTGGATGGTACTAAGAAGAACATGAAACTGTTTCCGTCTCAATTCCAGCTGTTAATAAGAAACAAGAATTTATACAAGTTGATTTACACACACACATGCACACACAAAACAAAGGCTACATACAAAACATATATCCAAGTACCTTATCTTCAACACTTTCTTTAATATGTGAAAGGTGTTCTAATTCTTTTCCCAGAGCCTCTAGTTCCCTAAAAGCAACAAAAACAGAGTCATATTTTGCTACCTGAGAGAAGAGAACTTACAATTAATACCAAACATTTCAGTTTCTAGATAGTATTTTAAAAATAAAAAAGAATATAGAGTTCTAACACTCCACTATGGTGAGACTTAAGGGGAGGATGATTTCTTCTTAACTTCTAAAGAATTTAGCACTATTTTCATTAAAAGTACATTCTTAGATAAAAAATTTGAAGTAAAGGAAAACATAGATAATAGAATAACCAGGGCATATATGTGGCTCAAGTGGTAGAGCCCGTGCTTAGCAAGTACAAGGCCCAGTACTGTCAAATCAAAAAAAAAAAAAAACACAGAGTAACTCTACTCAAGAACTGATAGATTTACTTCAAGTTTTCCTTTTGGTAAAAGAAATAAAACACTGTTTATGAATTTGAAATACCCTTTTAACCTTACTCCTTCAGTCCTCTACCTTTTTTTTCTCTTTTATCTCTCACTCAGGTACCATTGTATCATTGCATATATTTGTATCTCTTAATAAAATACAGTTTCAGTATATAAGATTTGGGAGGTTTGTAAAGCATTTATAAATGGTTATTATTCTATATATATTTCAGCAACTTTTACCTGTCTTTTTCAAACTGACTATGTTTTAGTTTTAAAAATATATAGCCAATGTAACTTTTTTCTGCTGTTTAGTATTTTCCTATATGAACAGAATATACTCCGTTTATCCATTTTCCTCTGGAGGCACACTACATGCACTTCTGTAGATTGATAGATAGCGAGTTTGGAGGAAGAAAAGGCTCTAATCAAGCAGCGCTAGCATATGTAATATTGGAAGTGTGACCCTTCCTTTTGACACATATTACATAGTTCTCTAAGAATGAAAGCACAGGCTAGTTCTTGAACACTATGTATGAAGCATAGCTCCTTACAAAGAAAAGCTCTAAACTTACTTTAATGTCTCATGCCTATCTGGATGGTGCTGGATCACTTTTGCCAAAGCATCATATTCTGAAAGAGATAAAAATAATTACCAAATTAAGTCTTCTTGAACTAGGATTATCAAAACAGTGTGGAATATCCCAATCTTTCCTATTCACTTTTCTAGTACATAAAGACATGAAAACAATGAGAGATGGAGAGCTCGCCACTTTCACTTGATTCAGTCATAACAATAATGATATGTGACATCAAAAGTGTTCCCAACAGGGACTTTTAGCTCCCTTCCGTTTATTCACTTACATGTCCTGGACATATAAGAAGTATAAGAAGCTGAAGTAAACAAAAATGAACTTAAGTTGTCATTGATTATCAAGTGGTTTGTAAAGATCTTATTCACTGTTTGTCTAGCAATAAATAAATAAATACCAATGAGGAAAATATATCCTAGTGTTAACTTCAGATCTTAATCAACAGCACTTCTCATTCATTCTAAAAGAAAAAACTTCATAATGAGTTAAAATTCAGGTCATGTTTCTGCTTCACTGAAACCTCCAAGATTAAAACATGTAATTCCTGTTAAGCTTTCTTATGACATGATAAATGGTAGGATTTACTTAGAAATCTTCTAACTAATGAAAACACTGTTTGAAAAATACTATAAATGATTCAGAATTGCCATTAATTATTATATAAGTTGGTATATCTTGTTGTGAATTGGCCACCAAAAGTACACTGCACATATTTTAAGGTGAATGCAAAAGCCAACTTTTAAAAACAGGAAATAAATCTTTTTTTAATTAGCTCATTAAAACGTGAAGTTCATTGTTCTGGAACTCAGCACATTAATTCAATTAGGATGATTTTATTTTAAATAAAGTTGTTTTGCATCATAAAAAACATGCTCAGTAAGTACAAAACCAAACCAAAGCAAACCAAAGAATCTAAATCATAAAACCCTATAACCACCAAATAATTAGTAACAGTTTCTACTTTCTTCTAGTTTTTTATATATTGTCATACAATGACCATAAGTTTTTATTTTTACTTTTTCCAATTTATATCATAGGAGGAGCAATGCTCCTGTCATTAAAAATCATTTTGAAAGTTTTTAGGAACTAGATAAGGACATATTGTGATTTAAAAACAAAAGAGATTAAAACAAAACTAAACTTTAATCTTTCTTTCTAGATAATTAGGCAGTCTGTAAACATTTCCTTGCTTTGTACTTAATAAAAACTCCTGAGAATTTAAATTCTTTTTTTTGAAAGTAGCTCCATTAAACAAACAAAACCCCAAGCCTAGTATATGAATATAAATTGCCTTTGCTGATTAATTATAACAATATTTAGACAAAAGAGTCTGAAGAGAGTATAAATGTAATATTAAGAAATACTTGGATAGTCAGTACAATTCAGCCAAAAAAAAAAAAAATCTGGCACAGCTTTCCTTCTGTATTTTAAAGAATACAGTTTTAAGAATTAAATATGGCTCCTAATTCTTTTTTTACAGATTAAATTGATTCTGGCTGCAGACTTTACCTTATAACATTAAAAACTGCATGAAAACAATAGGCAATAGTAAAGTATTTGCACACAAATCTCCCAAAGCCCTTACCTTGGCGATTCTTTCGTATTCGTTTTGCCTGAAGAATCTGCTTTTTGCACTCAGCAATTTTTTCATGTGCTCCAGCAATGCTACATTCTGTATAAAAAGTTTTTAAAAAGATAATTATAACAAAATGTTTAATCTTCATCCATTTTCAATTTAAAACTATGTTTCTAAATTGAGTTTCATTGCTAACAAAAACATTTGCAAAATAGCTGTAACCTACACACTGTATATTAGGATATACACTTTTGTAGTTAATACTTACCATATTTGTTTTTTAATTAATTGTAACTGTTGTTATACTTTCATTACCAACCAAAGAAAACTCTTAGGATTCTTCCATTAGACCCCTAAAACAAAACTGCAGCTAGAAGTATGAATCACTTAAGTGTGCTCACCGATTTCTTTGTAAATCTTTTCATAGTTCTCCATCTCTCTGAGGTTCATGTCATACACCAGCAATGTTTTGCCCATTGAAAACTCACACTGAGACAGCGTGCTCAGCATCCGTTGGTACTGACTATAGCTAATGAAGCAGAGAAAGACATTTTAGCCTTGCTAAAAGCTGTGATAAGGGCAAATAATTTGCTAAGTTTTAACAAGTCTTCAGAGAATCATTTATTTTGTTTAAAGTTACTTAGAACATTTGTCCCTTATAATTTTTTTTAACTATAGTGTACTTGACTTTGTAACCTGCTTTAGTTGCAAATGCAAGATGGGTCTATTGTTCTTATCAATATAGGCATAATTCAAACAACTATTTTTCTGCCTTAAGCCACATTAAAAAATATTTTGATGAAAGGGTTGCTTATCAACAGAATGCTGTTCTCACAAGTTTTCACTCTGTACAGTACAATTGTTTATGTGGAAAGTGTATCCAAATGAGGAAAAAATTTCTATGTTAAAAAATTAAGAACACACAAGAGCTAGGCACAGTGGTCTGTAATCCCAGTTACTCAGGAGGTGGAACTCAGAATAATGATGGCTTGAGGCCAACCTGGTGGGGGGAGGAGAAAAAACTTAGTGAGACTACATCTCAAAAAACAAACTGAGCATGTGGTACACCTCTGTAATCTCAGCTGCACTGGAGGCTGTAGGTAGGAGAATCAAGGTCTGAGGCCAGCCACAGGCAAAAATTGAAGAATATTTGAAAAATAACTAAAGGAAAAAAGGGCTAGTGATGTGGCTCAAGTGGTCAAGCTCCTGCCTAGCAAGCAAGAGGTCCTGAGTCCAAACTCCAGTATGGCCAAAAAACTCCCCCAAATCAAAAAATCCCCCCCTCCTTTAGCCAGGTGTGGTAGCACAAGTCTGTAATCCCAGCACTCAGGAGGCTTAGGTATTAAGATTGTAGCCTGGGCTTCAGAGCGAAACTGTCTCCAAAACATAAATAAGTAAGATAAAATCTACTTTTCATAAATTGAGGTGACCCCATGGACATTCAAGGAAAGGAAACAGTGAAATGTCAACAGGACTTTGATAGAATCCCATCGGGATCCTACCCCTCTTCTTGGGAACCGGAGTTGCACCACTTAATAAAGCTTTTCACCAGCAGGTTAATTCTCCGGTCGTCCCCAGCACCATCTCCGTCAATCAGGAGTCGCTTCCGTATGACTTCGTCTGGGGAAGAAGGCAATGTGGATTAACACAGCCATCTGGCTCTTGGTAACGGTCAAGAACAAATAACAATATGAGCACTCGCTTGCTCATTCAAAAGAAAATTACCGCAAGGTGCGTGAGCTTTATGCATTGACCGTACACTTAATGTGGCTAGTTAAAATGGCAAATTTTGTCATGTATAGTTTACCATAATAAAAAATATGCACGCATACATTTTAAGAAGGCAAAGATCATCCATTGTATGTCAATAACTGTTCTAGAGCTGGGGTTATAGGCAAAAAGTTGGTATTCTCCTGGGTTGTTGAGAGGAAATAATTTTCAGGTATAACCAAGAACTAAGCTGTAATTCTTAGAGAACCTTTTTTTTTTTTTTTAACAAAAACCCATCTGGACAGAAAGAAATCAGGAATGGTCATGTCTCTGGCTAGTGAGAGACACTAGTAAAAAGGATAGAGAAATGAAGATGTCGAACACAGTGACCATCTAGGAAAAGAGAATGATAGGCAGGTCAGAGAAAAAGGAATGAGTTTGTTAAATAAAAGTATAATTTAGTTATCATATCTTTACATGTTTCTTTCTCATGAGGATTCTTTTTTTCTTTTAGCAAGACCATCTCACTTTTGCCCCAAGGAAAAGAAAAAGAAAAAAAAGGAACAGAAAAAGCAGCAAGCAGAGTCCCCACTGGTTTGCCTGGCAGCCCTGAGCTGGTGTCCTTACCTGGATAAAATGGAACCACAATAAAATACCAGTTTTCATCTATCAGACTGGTAAAGGTCAAAATCTTTCAGGGCCACTGGACATAAAAAATACAAAATAATAAAAATGCACACATTTTCTGACCCCACAGTTCTAGTTCTGGGAATTGAGTCTTTAGATACATGTGTACCTATGCACAAACACAGATAGAAAGGCGCATTGTGAATGGTGCTGCTTGTAGTACAAAGACTGCAAACCTAAACATTAAGAGGTTGCTTAAGTTGTGAAACTTCATATAACACAAGATCATACAGCCAAGCCAAAAGAACAGTGTGGGTATGTATACTGACGCCCAAAGTCTCCTTAGATATGTTAACTAAAAGGAAAGCAAGTGGAGAGAAGCACACACAGTATGCTGCCATGTGTGCAGAAAAGGGGAAGCTGTATGTGTAGGTACATCATCAGAAAATGTCATGGATTCACAAGAAACTGACAATAGTGATTGTTTCAGGTGAAAAGGGACTACAGATAGAGACGAGAAAAATATAATTTTCTCACACATCATTTTGCGGGGTTTTTTTTTTTTTGGTGTGGGTAGTTTTCTTTTTAACCAAATGCATTATTTTTTAAAACAAACACTTGAAGTGTAAATAATTCCTGGAGTGCCTGGATGATGAATCAACAGCAAAATCTTTAAACAATAGTTCCTGTGTGTAGGCAGAAGTATTTTTGAGCGCAGGTGGAGCGGAGATAAACTTTGGAAGGCAGATGGTTCCAATGTTAAAATATATTCTGCAATAATATCAGATACACATTTTTAGAATGGGAATTTAATTGTCAGAGTCATGGTTTTGAAAGACTTTTCAAGCTACAGATTCATAAGGTGTTTTAACTTTCCCTTTTGGTAATACAAGTAGTGTTTTCAGTTTTTAACTACCAACAGTGTTATCTGAAGAGAATGAGACTAATAAAACATAGCCCTTGAACAGATTAAAATGGAGAAAATGAAAAGATTTTTTAAAAACTACAAATGCTTCAACTTCTCAAAAATAATATAAAAGGAAACACCCACTGGGTGAGGTAATGTGGTGATACTGACACTGCTCAGTAATTCCTTTGCTCCTCTTCTGTTCTTCCCAGATGCCTCCTTCCTAGTTTAGGGCTGGGGATCTCTAATGTGAATGTACTTGGACAGGTAACAGTTGAGGGGATGGGGGTCAGTGTCCTGACTGAGGGCAAGCTATCACCAGACCCGAGTTTCAAGTCTGATAACTAACTAAAAGTATTCAAACACACTTTGTAATCATTCTAATTGTACACTTTAGGACCTGCACACTTTTATATATGAATCCAGTACTCCCATTAGAAAAGTTTTTAAAAAACCTTTAGAACACTGTCCAAGCCAAATAAACCAAATGTGCAGGCTGGTCACCTTCTCCCTAGTTGGGAGAAAGGTTTAAGGAGGCCAATATTCTGTTTGCATTCATCCTGTTTCCTCCTCAGTATCTCATACTATATCTTACACATTCAGACACTTAAAGATATTTTTAAATCGGATGTGTGCTGCCAGCACAGGACTACCTGTCTTCTAAAGAACTTTGTCTCAATAAAACATTAATAAGGGCTAGAAGGCAACTATCTTATTTTTACTTCCACAGCAGTGATTATTTTGTACAGAGTATGTGATTATTTGAACAATGAGTACATGTGTCCACAAGGTACAAGAGTAAGTTCTGAGGATATGAAATAGACCTGAACCCTTTCTCTCTCACCGAAGAAAGAATACACGAATGAAGACACATACAGAGGAAGAGGCTGTGAAGGTTAAATGAGTGACATACACACTAGAGATTAGGAGGAGAGCTCCCTTTGACTTGGGGGCAATTGGAGGCGATAGAATTTGAGCTGCTCTTTTGATACTTATAATTTATCAATAAATAAATCAGACATTTCAATTATTTTTCAATTTCAAGTAACATTAGTTTTTGACTCAGCAATTCCAGATATTCAAGCAATATGAAGTCAGATCATGCACTGGAACATTGTAATACTGAAATATCAAAAAACAAAAAACAAAAAAAAACCCCGACTGTTCATCAACAGGGAAACAAACTTCAGGATAAGAACATGATAAAGTATTTTGAAGCTATAAGAAAAAAAGAATGAGGAAGTGCTCTATGATAGAGACAATTTAAGATAACTTGGTATAAGATCAAGGTGAAGAATAGTATGCATACTATGCCTCTGTTCAAATAAAAGTGGGGGGAAATAAGTATATTTCCATGTGTGTACATTTGCACAGATACCCTGGAATGATACACACAAAACTAATGAAAGGGGTTACCAAGAGACCAAGAGACCAGACAGTATAAGGGGGAATGGGGGACAGGCTGTAAGATGGGGAGTATCTGTCTATGTTGCATGACTTCTAAAGCAGATGAGAACCCCAAGACTGCTAGATGTTGTTGATTATAAAGGAAAGAATGCTTAAGCCCTCTCCCCTTCCCCGAGCCCCGGGAGGAAGCTGTGAGCTCTAGCAGAGGTGGAGGAAGAAAGGCTGGGTCTGGTGTCTGCACACACTAGACTACTAGGGAAAACAGTTGGCCGTGAGAATATAAAGACAGTTAGGGGTGAGACTGTGGTAGCTGTCTACACTAATAAAGGCCCTACTACTAAATAGGAGGCAAGTGGGTACTGCCGAAGATTCATGGGCAGAACTTTCTAGCAGGAACAAGCTGAGGACAATGTACAATACAGACTGCAACTGGGAAAAGTCCAGAAATAAGAAGGCTGATTACGAGGCTGCCAAGGCACTTGCAGTTAGGAGTTAACATAGCTTCAACTAAAAGGAAAGAATAGAATCACAGGTGCTGGAAGGCAGGTTAGGACTGAGCAGAGACCTGGTTAGGAAAGGCAGGGGCAAATGCCAGCGCTAAAGTAGCAGGAGTGGGAGTGTGGTAAGACTAGTTCTGGCAGCCCAGGGGATTCCCTGTGTAGGCATTCACAGACCCTTCTCCCTCTCCAGCCCTATCCCTCTTTAGTCAAAGCATAACTCCTCATAGCCAACCCTCTGAGCCAGAAACCAAAACTGGAGCCCATGGTTTGTTTAGTCCACGCAGTGTTTGCATACATTTAACCTCATCTGTAAAATGGAGATAAAACTATTTACTTTGTAGGACTGTTGTGAAACTTCATGGAAATAAGAGTATGTGAAAGAATGCAATCTCTGCCCATTGTAGGAAAAAACCCCAAATATATTATCCTTATCTTTGTGTTACATTTGATTCATAAATTGTACCATGCTAAAAATGTTAAAGATCTATAAAGTTATATATCTATGTAGATAAACATGTATTTGTAGATACCAAATTTTGTCCAGTTATGACTTGTGACAAATTTGCTTGTGTCTCAAACTTATTGAAAAAGTCACAGCGTTTCTAGCTCAAACTGTGTGTAGATAGTTGCTGCCTAGAAAATTCTCTGTGGATAAGAATTACTGAAATAACATCTACAAATGTAGAGCACAACTCCAACAACAACATAAAACAATTACATTCCCAGTTTGAGAACAGTTTCTAGTCTTTTAATATTTAGAGTTTCTAACACATGTGGCATGAAGATTATTTTTAATGACACCATATTAATTAGCTCCACAATGAACACACCTAAAACTTGTTTTGTTTACCGTGTACACTGACTTCATAAATTATCATGCTTGAAGCCCTCTGTAAGCAATTTGATTGTTTTAGTTCTGGCAGGTCTTGGTCCATCTTGGTAAACAATAGAGATGGCTTAGGAACTATTTTATTGGTACTAAATTAGGATGAGGAGAGACTAAGTTCATGTAAAAACAACGTGCAGATTCCTGTCAGATTAATCATGGATCACTACCACTTACAAGTTATTAAGATGAATTACATATAGCCCATTTGCTAGATTCCTTATGGGAAAATAACTCCTAGCCCCTCCTTTCAAGAAGTTTACAGTCATTAAGGTAATTTCTAGGTCAACAATATTAAGAATACACAAAAAGGTGGGAGGAAAGAACAATAAGATGGTTTGATTACTTCATGTAAATATTGATCTTTCCTGACATAGTCAGGACCAGTTTAAATAAACTGCTGATATCAAAGTGATGTGCTTAAGCCAAAATTAAATTTAAAAATTAAAAAGTAAAACCAGTGTAGGGATCTTTTTCTCTGTTTGTTTAAATATTTAGAAAATGGTGCATGTCAAGGATAAAACCTCCATCTTGCTTTGAAAAACTGTTTTGAGTAAAGAAACATTTAATAAATAGTTGGACTGCATTAGTTAGCCCTTTGCTAGGCCACAGACAATGGAACAAATTAGATGAATCTACTGGCACTAGTAGAAAAAAAAATGTCTGATTAACACTGGATCATCAACTGAAACAGGAATAACTGCAGCACAAACGCACACGGTGCTCACACACCCAGACTTGGTGAATACATATCCCATGCTTCCTTTCACTCTGAAGAGTGACCTGGCTTAGACAATAAATTAAATGGTCACTGAACTTCAACACACTTCATGTGTATTATCACACATCATCCTTGAAACAACCTCATAAAGTGTGCACTATTACGTTCCTTTTACAGATGACTGGTGTCACCTCTGATTTCAGAGGAAAAGATACACAATTACATTATTATACAGTTACAGTAAAGTTCTATTATTCTGTAGTACTGTTATAGGCATATTAAAAATCAATTATTTCAAAATTTAACAAGCATATATCCATGCATTACACTCTTGTAGTTAAAAAAAAAAAAAAGCTACTGTCAAAACCAACAAGCTCCACTAAGTGGGATATAGAAGCCCATCTCCCCCCTCCCCCCTTCTCATCTCCCATCTGTTGCGCTGGCATATCAACATATCTACCTAGTGTTCTCTGTACTACAAAAAGTGTTTCTGAAATGATTTCTATCAGGGTACTAACACTGTTTAACACTCTTTAAATTAACACTTACAAAATACAAACTGTTAACATAGTTTAAATTAACAGTGACAACATCTAAACTGTTTTTCAGCTAGCCCAAATGCTAAGGTGGCATCAGGGAAAGGTGAGAAAATGGCTTTGTCGCTAACTAGCTATATGATTAAGTCACCAACTTGCCAGGACGTCCATTTTTTCATGTATAAAAGGACAGCCCCAGTAATATCTACAGTCCAGCATCTACAGATGGCAACACAGTGCTTCTCTTCTTCCCTCTGAGGTAGTGTAGTTCCTCAAACTGGTTGCAGGGGGCTCTGGATATGCAGACCAATATGTAAGCATTGCATGAGGAAGGCACAGACATCCAGGTACCTCGAATTTTAAGAAGACATCAACCCTCATCTTAGCTCCAGGGACAAGTACTGCCACTCCTTGAAGAGCTTTTCAGGAAGATGGACGTAAGGCATCCCCTTCTCACTGTTCTCCACTGCCATCAGGAAGCTCTTCTCTCGTGTCAAATGTTTTGCGATGGATTTTCAGCTTCCATACTTGGCTTCCTAGATTCCGTTTTCTACACAGCAACTCAGAACGACTTAAGAGATGAACTGGCTCACCAAATCATGCTCAAAGTCCTCCACTCGTCGCCAGTGTCCACAGAAGATCCCATCTTTCAAGCTCTGCTTGAACTCCCAAGGATGTCCTTTGGAATTACGATCCTGGCTTACATGGCTCCAACCCCACTAGCCTTCCTTATCTTCCCTAAAGAGAAAGAGCTTGTTTTCATCTCAGGCCTTTGCCTCTATCTGGAGTACCTTCTTAAAGGGCTCTTCACATGGTTGATCCGTTCAGATCTCACTTTAAAGATCGTTTTACAGAGAGATCATACTTGACCACCCTATTTTCTAATTTTTGGAAGCCCTTCCCCATTACTCTCATCAAGTTCACTATCAGAAATGAAGTATGTTCCTTATAAAAATTTACCATTTTTGCTTATTTAATCGCACATTAGGTCTTTCCCTCAAGCTTGGGCCAAGCTCTAATTTTCTGCTGTAACTAGCACCTCACATGGTGTCTAGAGAGTCTGCAACAGAAATTTGTTGACTGATCACACATAGTATTCATTTCAGCTCAGTTATGTTTTTCCAAAAACAGAAAATAGGGAAAGACAATCTGTGCAGATTTAAAGCTAGAGAAGACACAGTTCTCATCATAGGGAAGTTGGAGAGTCGTAAAACAACTTTTATTTATGTTTGGTAGTATTTGCTAAACATTACTATGTATTTGCATGACTCAGTGCAAAGCCCTTTACAACTCTTATTGCATTTCATCCTCAAAACAACCCTCTGGAGTGGACTTTGTTATTATCTTCATTTAAGGAGAATAAAATTGAGGGCCAAAGAAGGTAAGTAAAAGGTCAAACAGCTATAAGTGGCAGAGTGGGGATTTCTGTAGCCTTCCAGGATGGCAGGGGTGGTGAGGGCATTTGACTGCAGTTAGTATGTTTACTACAACTCATCTGCCCTCCCCTTCTCCCATATGACAAAGTCCATCACTCCTTTGGAGCTCTCTACCTCAATATAACTAGGCACACAGTCACTTAAGACAGAAACCTGGAATCATCCTTGACCTCTCCTCTAACGTCCACTCAGTGGCTCATAGGATGGTATTGTCCACTTTTTTTCATTCTCTCTTGGTTCCTCTCACTAGGAGTACCGCCAACAGTAAATAAAATAAAATGCATTTCATTTTATGTGAGGAGTGGGAAATCTGGAGCCCATGTAACCTAGTTTTTAGCCAAGGCTCCCTAACTTACTACCTATGTGTCATTAGACAAGTTACTTAAACTCTTTGGGCCCAATTTCACCTGTAAAATAGCGACACTAATTGTAACACTGTCTGACACACAATAGATGAACTATATAAATAGTAAGGGGAGAGGGAATTTACTTAGTAGTGCCTCACTACTTTTCCTTTCCTTCATTAGTCTTCCCATAGTATAACATGTGTGTGTGGTAAAGCACTTGCCTAATAGGAATGAGACCCTTGGGTTTGATCTCCAGCACAGCAAATAAACAAACTTTACAAATAAAAGCAATGATTACACTACACCAATGTTTAAAACTTTTAATGCTTTCCATTGCCTTTTAATATCTATGGTTTATAATTCTCTAAATTCTGTCAATACCTGTCATCTTTGAGTTCTTCCAACATTTTCTGACTTGCACAAGTGTTTCTTACCTAGAACACCAGTCCAACTAACACCTTTTTATCCTTCAAAACCCAGATTAAAAGAAACCTTTCTTCAGGGAAGTTTTCTAATCACAGGAAATGGATAAACATATTCCTAAGATTCCCAAGTCTGTATTTCCCCTGTGGTGTCATTCGTAACCCTTAAAATTAATTATTCTAATGTATGGTTCCCACCAGACTACAACCCTGAAGGAGAAAAAGGTTTTGCCTATTGGTTCTGGGCTGTAAACCAAAGGAAGACCTAGCCCAGGATGGACACATATTTACTGAATAAATGAAACTAAAATGAAGCAAAGTTAAAATTCCCTGGGCCTTTAATTGCCTCCTAGATCCTACTTATCTGTTCACAAATTTGGGCCTATCATCTTTTTTTCCTATTTTCTGGCTCCTTAAAGTGGAGACCCCATGGACCCTCAACTCTTCGGAAATAACCTCTCCACAGGCATCTACAAATTACCAGTCACCCTCTCCTCAGACACACCCAGTACCTCCATTTTCCCTGCCCAGATGTCAGAGGACCTCCTGACTACCTAAGGGGATACTTTCTAGGTTCTCTCTCCAATTGCTCATCATTCCTGTTCCTCCCTCCCCAAAGCGTTCTATCCTCTTATTTCCGCTCAGTCCATAGACCATCTGCTTTTCGATTGTCCCCAAACCCAGACCCCTCCCCAATTTATTCCAGCCGAAGATTCCCCACCTCCCAGATACACACACCCCTTTTATTACTCCCCGTTTGTGCTGGCGGCCTGATTCTGTGGCTAGAACCTTGTAAACCTCCCAGGTACACACTTCCTGATGGCCCCTGCGGACACACAGTCACCCACTGCTTTTAGATGAGGTCCCCAGCTCCCTCTCCCCGCTCCGCTCCCAATCCACTCCTAGTTCATGGCCTCCTAAAGATCCAGCCCCCTGTCTGTGCCCTGAGGACCCCCCAGGTGTCACCCCCTGCACACCCCTAAGTGCTCGGCTCCCCAAAAGGCTGCCTATCCCCGCAGCTCCCCCTCCCTCGCAGGCCTTCACAGGCCCTGAGGACCCCCGACCTTCTGGCGTCCACTGCTGCCTACAGTGGGCAGCTCCTGGGGACCCCCCCCACATCCCGGGACGCCCGGGAACCCTCAACTCCCACGTGCGGCCGGGACCCCGCGTGCGTTCGCAGCCCCGACCACCCCGCGCCCGCCCCGGGGATCGCCGGGCCCCGGAGTCCAGGGGGCTCGGAACAGGAAGACGGGGGGCTGGAGGAAGCAGCGGGGAGGCCCGGGGGGCCCCCCCAGCAGCGCTCCAGAAAGATCGAAGGGTCCGAGGAGCGGGCTCACCGTCAGTCACGGCTCCCATGGCGTGCGCGGCAGCGGCGGCGGCGCAAGCTAAGGCGGCGGTTGGCGGCGGCGGAGGTCAAACTCCCACAATGCAGCCGGGTAAACAGCCATGGAGGAGGAGGCGGCGGCGCCCGCGGCCGCCCGCTCCGACGCCTGAGTCGCGCCGCGCCGCCGCCGCCGCAGCCGCGGGATCCGCGCTCCCCGCGCTCCGCACTCCCCGGGGGCGGCTGCGGCCGGCGCGTGAGGGGGCGAGGCCGGCGGCCGGCGGCGGCCGCTCGGGCTGCAGCCCCGGCCCCCCCGCCCGCCGCCCCCGCCCGGCCCACGCCCAGAGGCCGCCCCGGAGGCCGCCGCCAGCCGCCAGGTGAGTTCGCCCGGGTGCCGGCGGGGGCGCGGGGACTGCGGGCCGCCCGGAGTCGGGACCTCCCCACCCCCTCCATCCCCCACGTCCCTTCAGCTCGTCCCGGGAAGGTGACCGCCGCCCCCCGCGCGGCCGCCGCCGCGGCTGGGGGTGGGCTCGCTTCCCTGGGGGAGGGGGTGGGGCGGACGGAGTCCCCGGGTGGGGTGGGGAGGACTGGGGGCGGTGGGGACACTGAGGGGGCGCGGCGCGAGGGGTCCCCGCGAAGTTGGCGGCCACGCGCGGCGGGGCGGGTCTCGAACGCGGGCACTTGGGCCGGGCGCGGCCGGCCACCATCCAAAAAGGCCCCGGTTCCAGGTCGCGCGGTTCCGGCCCCGGAGTCCGCCCCTTCCCTTCCTGGGCTCCGGCGGGTGCCGGGAAAAGGGTGAAAGAGAAACTTAACGACCTCTCTCTGGGAGGAGTTGGCGGAGGAGCCTGGTGTCCGCCACCGTCCTCACCTGGCATCCACTTAGTCCTCCCGCAGAGCGAGCCCGAAACCGGTCGGTGATCGTCATCATGGGGTGTTCGCTTTTTTTTTTTTTTTTTTGGCATTTGCTTTTTCAAAAAATGCTAGTGTGACCGTCCCCATCTTAAGGGGAAGTTGAACGTGGGGGAGGGGGAGGTAGTTGGTGCTCCAGTGTGTGTGTTAGACATTTCCCGAGCACACGGCGGATTGTATTGGTATCTCTTCCCCAAAGTCACTTCGATTGAACCTCGATGAGTTTCTTGTAAATGACACCATTTACATGTTGAGGGGTGAGTGAGGAAACAGGCACCAGTACAGCCGATTGGACCTCCAGTGGGGTAGGCAGCACCAGAAACATGGCAAAGTTTTGACCCCAGGTTTGATGTTTAATTGAGCTAGATTGTTCGTTTCCGGTTTTCATGACACCCACCCCAAGTGTCTTGCATCTTCCCAGCCCGTATAGAGCAGCTCCAGTTTCCTCTCTAGAGTTGGGTCCAGTTCATTCAAAGAAGAGGAGTTGTAGAAGCAAATACATGACAGTGACATGTGTTTAACCTCTAGGTAGAAATTTTATTTATCTTGAGAGAGGCTTTAACTTCAATTACAGTACTCTTAAGAATTTAGACTTTTGGCACAAAGGCAGGAATTACCTTTCGTGAAGATGCCGAGATGTAATTTACCCTCACCTAGGGCGTGGAACCTCCCTGACTTAAAAGAATGTTGGACTAAAGGCTGGACATCAGAGCCTGTTCATTTCCTTGGCTTTAGAAGAGAAGACAGTAACCAAAAGAATTGCTTTAAATCTGAAGTACTACCTAGACATTGCAAATTGATTATCTGTCCATCTCAAGTGGCATTTTGGAAGCAATTGTTGGGCTAGGATGTAGCTCAGTAGTAGAGCACTTACCTAGTGTGTGAGAAGCCCTGAGTTTGAACCCAGCACCAAAAAAGAAAAGCCAAAATAAAAATAAATAAATAAATAAATAAAAACTAGAGGAAAGAAATTGTCAGGTAGCAAAATGTTCCTCCTGTTAAGTTACTTGACCTTATTAGCATCTTACTGATTTTGAAACAGTATCTTCTGATTTAAAATAAATCTAAAGTTTTTATAGAAACCATCACTGTTCCCAGTAACAGTTAAATTTCCACTAGATGTTCTATCAATTATTCATAGACCAAGACCTGGCCAAACACTTTTATAAGTTCATTTGATAACTCACAATTTTGTTAAGTAGTGCTAGAATTTTTCTAAAGTAAAAAGACCACAAGGAAATGGGAAGACTTTAAAGTTTGAGGTATACCTGAAAATAAACATTCAAGAAAGTTCTTGGGGAGGGAGGGGGCGGAGTGGGTGGTAAGGGAGGGGGTGGGGGCAGGGGGGAGAAATGACCCAAGCCTTGTATGCACATATGAATAATAAAAGAAAAAAAAAAGTTCTTGACTCAAGTGATAGGAAACACATAACTTGAACTTGTATGAAGTCTTTATAATCTGCTTTGACAGCCATATAATTTAACTCAGAATTGCATTGGCACAGATCTGTGAGTTGAACATTTAAGAATTCATTTTATTGTCTTCATGTATAGATAGAGCATTATTTGATAAATTTTAATAGTGATCTTTTTTCATTTAGTTTATGAATGTTAAAGTAGGATATATCCAAGCTCTATGCCTTGTTAATATTTTTTTCTAGGGAGATCTCTATGGACAGAAACAGAATTAGAAGTAGCATATTTTAAGCTATAATAAAGCTGATTTGTACTTTGAACTTCTGTTACCTTAAATTTACTCATCATTAGATTCCTGATTTCTTTGAGAATACTAGGGATTAGTTAAGGAAGTTAGTGTGTTTAATATTTGCCCTTCCTTCTTTGAATCAGGATCTCACTAAGAGTATTTGCCTTTTGAAAATAAAAAGGTTGATAAGAGAACTAACTAGCTGTTTGGTCTATATCCTTGGCTTGTAAAATGATATAGGAAGGCATTTTTCAAACATACTTTCAGAGTAAGGTTATGCTGTGGTTTGTGAACCTCCAGGGGCCCAGGAATGGGTTTCAAGAACTTCCTGAACCCCCCATAGTTGTGACCCAAACTCTTTGTGTATGTGTGTTTTTCTTCAAATAAAGTATGTCATTATAAAAGAGGTCCAGGATTCAACAAAAATAAGTGACTCATCTTTCTCATTCCTAGCAGAAAAAGTTTTAAAACTAGATCTTTGTGCTTGGTACTTTTCTTTTTCTTTTTTGGTGGTGGTGGTGGTACTGGGTTTTGAACTCAGGGCCTCATTCTTGCCTTGCACGCACTTTACCACTTGAGTCACACCCCCCAGTCCTTTTGGTGGTGTGTTTTTGCCCCACCTGGCCTGGACTATAATTCCCCTGTTTATGCATCCTGCATAGCTGGGGTGACAGGCCCGTGCCACCACACCCGGCTGTTGGTTAAGATGGTGTCTTGCCAGCTTTTTGCCTGGGCTGGCCTCAAACTTCAATCTTCCTGAGCTTTGCCTCCTAAGTAGCTAGGATGAAAAGTGTGTGTGGCCCTGGCATTGGTAGTTTTTAAAGTTGTTTTCAACCTAATTGTGTGGTCTTAGGAGTATAAAAACACTTTCATTTTGTTCCCATAGCAAAGCATTGCCTGTCAGTTGATAAACCATGCATATACACAAAGGGCAAGCTGGCTGCCATGCTACTTCTGAGTGCATTGTAACCATTGTAACTGTGTTTTAATTTATATCTAAAAATTCAGACTAGAGAGATTGAATAAGCAGAGTCTAGAGCTTGACACCAACCCTTAAAGCAAATGGCTCACTCAGTTCCACTCTTACTTCTCTCTAGCAAATCTGACTGCGAGGTAATCACGCTAAGAAAATGTATTTGTGCTTTGGCAAGATAGCAGAATCTGATATGAAGAATCGTTTCTGAAACAAAGCAGAATTATTTAGGTTCAAGTCTGGGATCTTTTATTCACTGAATCTGCTTAACCTGCCTGACCCTGTGGTTATCCATCTGAGTAATGCCCATTTGGTAGAGGTGGTCAGAGGCTGGCTAGGATTTTCCTATGTAAGATTGTGAGCCCCTTGTTCAGCCCACAGCAAGGACTTTACAAAGCCAGATTTGGGCAGCCATTGATAAACATCTGAGCAAATGGACAGCCATGGTATATGCTAAGATATGCATTATTTCCAAAAAACCCTCAGATATTAACATGTAAAACATTTTTTAAAACTCAGTTTTTTTGAGCATGAGTTAGGATCGAATGGGCCTTGTATTGCAGCCACTTGGGAGAAGTTGGGAAATGGTGGTGCATTTGACAAAGCACGTGCCCTTCACCTGTTATTTAAATGTTTTTAAAATCTTATTTTTAAAACTGCATGT